TTAAGATATAGCGCATCAATGCCAGTAGTACCCATATGTGCAGTCAGTCTAACAGCAATGCCTGCAAGCGCCCGCGACACGAACTTCGTATATCGCGGTCTAAAGGTACCTTAACCTGGGAATTTCTGCACAAACTATACCTTGTTCGGAAGCTTGTGATGAGGCCAACAAGCTGGCAAAGGACAGGTCTTGAAACCAGTGGTTGGCGGAGAAAATTTAAGATATAGCGCATCAATGCCAGTAGTACCCCTATGTGCAGTCAGTCTAACAGCAATGCCTGCAAGCGCCCGCGACACGAACTTCGTATATCGCGGTCTAAAGGTACCTTAACCTGGGAAGTTCTGCACAAACTATACCTTGTTCGGAAGCTTGTGATGAGGCCAACAAGCTGGCAAAAGGACAGGTCTTGAAACCCAGTGGTTGCGGAGAAAATTTAAGATATAGCGCCATCCCTTGCAGTAGTACCCCTATGTGCAGTCAGTCTAACAGCAATGCCTGCAAGCGCCCGCGACACGAACTTCGTATATCGCGGTCTAAAGGTACCTTAACCTGGAAGTTCTGCACAAACTATACCTTGTTCGGAAGCTTGTGATGAGGCCAACAAGCTGGCAAAGGACAGGTCTTGAAACAAGTGGTGCGAGAAAATTTAAGATATAGCGCATCAATGCCAGTAGTACCCCTATGTGCAGTCAGTCTAACAGCAATGCCTGCAAGCGCCCGCGACACGAACTTCGTATATCGCGGTCTAAAGGTACCTTAACCTGGAAAGTTCTGCACAAACTATACCTTGTTCGGAAGCTTGTGATGAGGCCAACAAGCTGGAAAGGACAGGTCTTGAAACCAAGTGGTTGCGGAGAAAATTTAAGATATAGCGCATCAATGCCAGTAGTACCCCTATGTGCAGTCAGTCTAACAGCAATGCCTGCAAGCGCCCGCGACACGAACTTCGTATATCGCGGTCTAAAGGTACCTTAACCTGGGAAGTTCTGCACAAACTATACCTTGTTCGGAAGCTTGTGATGAGGCCAACAAGCTGGCAAAAGGACAGGTCTTGAAACCCAGTGGTTGCGGAGAAAATTTAAGATATAGCGCATCAATGCCAGTAGTACCCCTATGTGCAGTCAGTCTAACAGCAATGCCTGCAAGCGCCCGCGACACGAACTTCGTATATCGCGGTCTAAAGGTACCTTAACCTGGGAAGTTCTGCACAACTATACCTTGTTCGGAAGCTTGTGATAAGGCCAACAAGCTGGCAAAAGGACGGTCTTGAAACCCAGTGGTTGCGGAGAAAATTTAAGATATAGCGCATCAATGCCAGTAGTACCCCTATGTGCAGTCAGTCTAACAGCAATGCCTGCAAGCGCCCGCGACACGAACTTCGTATATCGCGGTCTAAAGGTACCTTAACCTGGGAAGTTCTGCAAACTATACCTTGTTCGGAAGCTTGTGATGAGGCCAACAAGCTGGCAAAAGGACAGGTCTTGAAACCAGTGGTTGCGGAGAAAATTTAAGATATAGCGCATCAATGCCAGTAGTACCCCTATGTGCAGTCAGTCTAACAGCAATGCCTGCAAGCGCCCGCGACACGAACTTCGTATATCGCGGTCTAAAGGTACCTTAACCTGGGAAGTTCTGCACAAACTATACCTTGTTCGGAAGCTTGTGATGAGGCCAACAAGCTGGCAAAAGGACAGGTCTTGAAACCAGTGGTTGCGGAGAAATTTAAGATATAGCGCATCAATGCCAGTAGTACCCCTATGTGCAGTCAGTCTAACAGCAATGCCTGCAAGCGCCCGCGACACGAACTTCGTATATCGCGGTCTAAAGGTACCTTAACCTGGGAAGTTCTGCACAAACTATACCTTGTTCGGAAGCTTGTGATGAGGCCAACAAGCTGGCAAAGGACAGGTCTTGAAACAAGTGGTTGCGGAGAAATTTAAGATATAGCGCATCAATGCCAGTAGTACCCCTATGTGCAGTCAGTCTAACACAGCAATGCCTGCAAGCGCCCGCGACACGAACTTCGTATATCGCGGTCTAAAGGTACCTTAACCTGGGAAGTTCTGCACAAACTATACCTTGTTCGGAAGCTTGTGATAAGGCCAACAAGCTGGCAAAGGACAGGTCTTGAAACCAAGTGTTGCGGAGAAAATTTAAGATATAGCGCATCAATGCCAGTAGTACCCCCTATGTGCAGTCAGTCTAACAGCAATGCCTGCAAGCGCCCGCGACACGAACTTCGTATATCGCGGTCTAAAGGTACCTTAACCTGGAAGTTCTGCACAAACTATACCTTGTTCGGAAGCTTGTGATGAGGCCAACAAGCTGGCAAAGGACAGTCTTGAAACCCAGTGGTTGCGGAAAAATTTAAGATATAGCGCATCAATGCCAGTAGTACCCCTATGTGCAGTCAGTCTAACAGCAATGCCTGCAAGCGCCCGCGACACGAACTTCGTATATCGCGGTCTAAAGGTACCTTAACCTGGGAAGTTCTGCACAAACTATACCTTGTTCGGAAGCTTGTGATGAGGCCAACAAGCTGGCAAAAGGACAGGTCTTGAAACCAGTGGTGCGGAGAAAATTTAAGATATAGCGCATCAATGCCAGTAGTACCCCTATGTGCAGTCAGTCTAACAGCAATGCCTGCAAGCGCCCGCGACACGAACTTCGTATATCGCGGTCTAAAGGTACCTTAACCTGGGAAGTTCTGCACAAACTATACCTTGTTCGGAAGCTTGTGATGAGGCCAACAAGCTGGCAAAGGACAGGTCTTGAAACCAGTGGTTGCGGAGAAAATTTAAGATATAGCGCATCAATGCCAGTAGTACCCCTATGTGCAGTCAGTCTAACAGCAATGCCTGCAAGCGCCCGCGACACGAACTTCGTATATCGCGGTCTAAAGGTACCTTAACCTGGAAGTTCTGCACAAACTATACCTTGTTCGGAAGCTTGTGATGAGGCCAACAAGCTGGCAAAGGACAGGTCTTGAAACCCAGTGGTTGCGGAGAAAATTTAAGATATAGCGCATCAATGCCAGTAGTACCCCTATGTGCAGTCAGTCTAACAGCAATGCCTGCAAGCGCCCGCGACACGAACTTCGTATATCGCGGTCTAAAGGTACCTTAACCTGGAAGTTCTGCACAAACTATACCTTGTTCGGAAGCTTGTGATGAGGCCAACAAGCTGGCAAAAGGACAGGTCTTGAAACCAAGTGGTTGGCGGAGAATTTAAGATATAGCGCATCAATGCCAGTAGTACCCCTATGTGCAGTCAGTCTAACAGCAATGCCTGCAAGCGCCCGCGACACGAACTTCGTATATCGCGGTCTAAAGGTACCTTAACCTGGGAAGTTCTGCACAAACTATACCTTGTTCGGAAGCTTGTGATGAGGCCAACAAGCTGGCGAAAGGACAGGTCTTGAAACCAGTGGTTGCGGAGAAATTTAAGATATAGCGCATCAATGCCAGTAGTACCCCTATGTGCAGTCAGTCTAACAGCAATGCCTGCAAGCGCCCGCGACACGAACTTCGTATATCGCGGTCTAAAGGTACCTTAACCTGGGAAGTTCTGCACAAACTATACCTTGTTCGGAAGCTTGTGATGAGGCCACAACAAGCTGGCAAAAGGACAGGTCTTGAAACCAGTGGTTGCGGAGAAAATTTAAGATATAGCGCATCAATGCCAGTAGTACCCCTATGTGCAGTCAGTCTAACAGCAATGCCTGCAAGCGCCCGCGACACGAACTTCGTATATCGCGGTCTAAAGGTACCTTAACCTGGGAAGTTCTGCACAAACTATACCTTGTTCGGAAGCTTGTGATGAGGCCAACAAGCTGGCAAAGGACAGGTCTTGAAACAAGTGGTTGCGGAGAAAATTTAAGATATAGCGCATCAATGCCAGTAGTACCCCTATGTGCAGTCAGTCTAACAGCAATGCCTGCAAGCGCCCGCGACACGAACTTCGTATATCGCGGTCTAAAGGTACCTTAACCTGGGAAGTTCTGCACAAACTATACCTTGTTCGGAAGCTTGTGATAAGGCCA